TTTTATATCTATTATGTCTATCATATGCTATATGAGAATTATAGCATTTAGAACATATTCTTTCGCCTATATTTAATCCATAACCTACGAGTTCAGCTTTTTCTTTTCCTTGTTCTGAAATATTTCGCCATTCAGAGTCATCTTTTTCTATTTTGCAAACGGAACAAAAACCAACAGGCATTTTAGTAATGACTTGTAAATCAAAGAAATAAAAATTGTTACTTCGAATGGATTCCAGGAATATTGAAGTGAAAAGAGTATACTTGTAAATTTGAAAGGTTGTTATTTAGTGTACTTGTGCCCACCTCATAAGTGTAACCCATTGTTTATTCTAAAATCTAAAGATTGACATAATATATATAAATAATATAAAAGGAATGTCCATCATGTTGTTCCATTTATGGTTCTAATAAATCCCAATTGGAATTGGAACATTCCAATACAATGTTCCAATTGCACAACACTGCTTAAAAGGATCACGAATTAAAAAGGACAACAAATTAAGTTTTATAAATAGTTAAGAACACTCATTTCTTGTTTTCTTTCAATCTTTTTCTATACTTTTAAAAACCCGCCTTTAATTTTTCTTAAATGGTAAAAAACAATTGCCCCAAGTGTAATCAAAAAAATAAACATCTTCATTGGTGTCAAAATTGCTACTCCCAATATCTTCGAGCCGAGTTTCCTAATTGGTCAAGTGGTAACCAAATTATAGACAATTTTATTCAAGGAGTTCAACTTAATGCGACTGAATGGACGCAGCATTTTGAGTGGATTCCATATGAAAAACTAGTTAATGTCCACTATTTAGCAAAAGGAGGATTTGGGAAAGTCTATTCTGCAGTATGGCTGGAGGGACCAAAAGTCCGTGATGAATACAATGTCGAATTTTTTTGTAGAGAAGAAAACCATCCTGTTGCTCTTAAAACTATTAGTCATTTGGGACCAACCACGGAAGGATTCTTTTCTGAGGTAAGCAGGGTTTACTTATTTCGAATTATTCTAAGCTTAATTCATTTAATCTATATTATTTTTTATTAAAATGCAGCTTAACAACTATATTGATGGTAAGTTTCAGTAAGGAGGGTCGAAGAAAAAAGATTTTTCTAAATAACAATTGATTCGTTTATATAGCAATGAAAGGCTGTAAAGGATTTCGTCAGGCTATAATAAGACATTATGGAATGACTCAGAAGCCAGAAACAAAAGAATACATGATGGTAACAGAATTTGCAAGTCTGGGTTCACTACGTGATTTGTTGAGTAAAATATTAGGGGATAAAATGTCATGGGAAGAGAGAATTCGTTTCATTTGGATTGCTTCATGTTCTCTCGTATTAATACATCTAGCTAATCTTGTTCATCGTGATCTACATAGTGGTAATATACTGTTGAGCGATAACGAACTAATTGGAAATATGCCTATGCCAAAAATAAGCGACCTTGGTTTAACTTGTCAAGTTAATTCAACGGACGATGGCATATTCGGTGTTTTACCCTATATTGCGCCTGAAGTTTTACTTAAAAAGCCTTATACAAAAGCTTCAGATGTATATAGTTTCGGTATCCTTATGTGGGAGATGGCTTCAGGCCAAATAGCATTTTCTGATCAGCCGCATGACTTTAATTTAGCAATGAAAATTTGCCAAGGCCTTCGTCCACCAATCGTTGATGCTATGCCAGAATTTTTTCTCAAGTTAATGCAACGATGTTGGGACGCGAATCCAGAAAATCGACCTAGTTCTTCTAATCTTTCTGCTGAATTACTTATTTGGCATAGAAAAGATCCTACTCAAAGGGATAAGGAGCTTAATTTAATTAAGCCTGGAAATTCAAACCAACAAACCAAAATCGATTTAAAACCACATGAAAAGGCGGTTTACACTAGTAGATTTATGGATTTTAAAAATCTCCCTGAACCTACGAATTCTATAATTCATGGTAATATTTAACAATTTCATTAATGTTAAAAATGAATAAAAAATATGTATTAATGGATTATTTATGTATTTGCTGTATTTGTAGATACTCAACAACTTAACCTCACAATTCCTGATTTTGATTTATTATCTCAAAATGACTGATAAATACATATCTAATTATTAAAGAAACAATATAATAAATACCTTGTATCCACGAAATTTTTGCTGACTTATCACTTTTAATACTTTAATCAAATATTTAAACACAAAAAAATTTTCTTTTAAATATTATACAACAGTTCTTTATAATCATTGTTTCTTTAGTAATAAAATAAAAATAATACACAGTAGTTTTAATAATAATAAAGTAAAAAATTATGGTACATATTTATTTACTGAAGCACAGCTACAGATAATTAATCTAATTATATACAAGAAATTAAAATATTAGTGAATAATATTATCAGTTAAGGATTTATAATAGATATAGAATTACAAAATTCTTTTTTAATTATTTTCAACTTGTCGAAGAATCTAATCATGGTTTACTCTTTTGTATGGCGAATTTCTGTTATTAGACTTGGATTTAATCGAAGATTCACTAGTTTTTAGTGAATTAGGCCTACGCAATTGTTTACATATTTTTATTGCACGTTCTGTCAACTTTTCACGTGCACTCTTCTGATCATAGTTTTTAATATAATATCTATGTTTCTTACTAAACCGGGTGTTAAGTGTTTTCTCTGAAAGATTAGTCCAGAATGTTAACAATCGAAGCCGTTTTTTGTCTGGCCTTTCAAGGTTATTATCAAGCAAATATTTGATGAATAATAAATCAAAATATGGATCTGTTTGTTGTCGTATCTTAGGTTTTTGAATTGATGATATTTGACAATTTTCATTGAAACTGGTGTGATGTCTAATAGAGTTCGATTTTTTATAAATTTGCAACAAGCCCATAGTATCCTCGACTATTTTATTATGTGCATCAATAAGACCACTAAAAAACTCTAATTCTTTGCTACATAGTTCACTAATTTGAGATGTAACCTCGCCTACCAACAATCTTGTTTTATCATCTAGAGTGTTTTCAGAACTTATATCTACTTTCTGAATTTCAACTATGATACTAGGAAGATTACATAAAGATGGTTTTTGAGAAAAATATAAAGAATCTCTAAGATCAATAAGATTCGATAATATGGGGTGTAATTGTTGAAAATGGTTTGAGTTTTTAGAGCCACTTTTATTATCAAATGAATTTTCAATTCCTTGAGAATTCATTTCACAAAATTTTTTTTTGCTATTTGATACACTTTTATCATTAATTATGTTTGAAAGTGATCCGTTTAGTTTAACTGAATTCCCCTCTGAATAATTTTTAAGATCCATAAAGTCAAAAAGAGATTACGAGCTTTATTATAAAAAACCAAATATTTTTAGTAAAATGTTGATTAATAAATACTTATTATTATACTAATTATTGTCAGGGGTTTTTTTTTGTTTCTAACTATTGTTACAATAAACATAATAAGGTAAATTAATATTATTTGTGTAAATTACAATTATTTAAAAAAATTTATAAATACAAGTGTCAACACATTTAGTATTATCTCATAAAATGACTCTGAAAATAATTACTTTCGAAAATATCCGCAACCATTTTTTAAAAATTAATCAAGTTTTTGATAATGGTTTGGGAACACACTCCTTAAATAATTCACAGCTTCGAAAGTCACTATTCCAAAAATATGGTTACCAAAAAGATGCATTGATTAACGAAAATAAATTCATTGATTGTTTCCAATCATATTTGAAAACTCCAATTTCAACTGAAGCAGTAAAAGTATTTTTAGACTTTGATGTAACAAATCACGAATTTCTAAAAATTAATATTAAGTCGCTTTATTTAAATGAAGTAAATAAGGTCAAAAAAATAATCGAGACAAATTGTTATAAACATAAAATTTCTGTTCTTCAAAATTACTTTATTCTTCCATCTGGAGATATTAGTCACATACAAAAGCTCATGACAAAAATAGACGATAAGTATACAGAAAGACTATTCGAAGCAATTAATAAGTTCCGGAATATTTTGCTTTTGCAAATTACAAAAACAGCTTCGATTCATTCCCCTTTATTTGATTCTAATTTATCAGCAAAGCGATTTTCAAAAGAACAAACAGATATTCTTGAAACATACTATAACGAAAATAAACTTATTAACAAAATTGAACTAAGCAAAAGGGTAGGCATCACTGTCAAACAGTTGGAAACATGGCTTAATAATAGAAGAGCCCGTTCTAAGGAAGATAATGACAATGATGAAGGTACAAAAAAATTTTTAAAAGAAAAGATGGATTGGGATACAATGTTCGTTAGTATTGATAAAGGAACTTTAACTTCAAAAGACATGGGTACTATGATATTTGAACTATCTAATTGCGAAAATGAGGAAGAAAATTCTAAAGACGTTGAGAAGCAGCAAGCTATACCTCCAGAAAATTTAGATGAAATTTTATTAAACGAAAATTCACCAAGTGCTGTGGAATCCATATCAACTACATCTCGAAAATCTTTGATCCTTCGATCACGTATTACCAAAGAGGCACGTAAATCAACAGCGCCTTATTCTACAATGACGCCTAGGATAAAAAAAAATTCTAAACATACAAATGTTGAAACATCGACAAACAATCCACAGTCACCTTTTCTTAATCAATCACTACAAACAGATCCAACTTTTCAGCATTCAGTTGAATTGGCCAATAATTATTCAGATGGGTTAGAACATACAATTACTTTGATTACAAACGAAGAACCAAATTTAACAACAACATCCAATAGTTTAAAAGCTCGCTATCGTCCCAACAAAAATTATGTAAGGACTAATGCGTCACCATATTTACGTTTATCGTCAAGCGATCAATCAAGTGCTAAAGGAAAAACAAGTGAGATTATGGATAATATTAACATTGATTTATTATTATCAACAAACCCTGCTATTTTCAACGAAAATCAATTATTGTTACATAATACATATAATACAACGAATAATTTATTATTTCATAATAGTCAACAATCTTTAGGAGAAGATTTTATGAACAATTCTATAGCAAATATTCAATTAGGAACCAATTATGAATTTGAAAAATTACAATCAAACAACATAATGATTGATAATTGGTTGTACGATAAGGGAGAATCTAATAATAATAATAATCCATTTGAAACAACCTTGTCAGGATTTGATGTAAATAATTACTATGAAACCAATGGTATTGTTCCAACGAATAGTAGTACAGCAGGCAATCCTTTGTTTATGTTACCAGGGGTTGAAGGAAATAATTCAATTGATACCATTCATAATAACAATATAACTTTAAATCAATCATCTTATTATTTCGAATATAATTTTAATCCAAATTGGGTATCAAATGAACCATTGAACATGAATTATACCTTTTTAGAAGAAGACACAACCTTGTCTGCTCCTACGAACAATCTTTTTTCTCAAACAAATTATACTGTTCTGGGACAAAATAATATTAGCAATGAATTAAATGCATTTTCACTCACAAATTTTCAAGAACAATAGCAATATTTATTGTTTGTATTTTTGATTATTGTATATTTAAAAAATCATTATATATATATGCAACTTGGAACGTGCTGGTCACAAAATTTTGTAAATAATTATATATAAAAATTTGTAAATTTTTTTGTATTATTTAATTCCGTGTAACAAGTCCGGAAATTGTTGATCATCTCTAATTTTATATTAATAATAATAATATTAATTTTATATATGAGTGACACTTGACCCCCTGTAGATCTGACTATTGTAACGCACAAAAAAGTTTACCAATTGGATTGTTTTTTTGTCTATATATATAAAAAAAAAATTTTTTTTCACTAATCTCATGAGCAATTTTGAACACTATCCTGGTTTTAATGGTAAGTTCTATGAGTAATAGTTTATCCTACATTCTCAGCTCTTATTTCCTATTTGAAGGAAGAGAACAAAGAATTTTGGTCCTACCGTGAGTTTTTGTTTCTTCATCATGATATCATCATATTTTCAGTAACTCCAAAAGCTCAATGGTATGGAATGGACCAGGGTTGGCAAATGTGCAGTCCATTGATGGTCTATTGGTGGTCTATTGGGTCCATTTTGACCATATTTAGTATTTTATTAATTGCAATGGACCAGTAAATTTGCCAACCCTGGAATGGACAGTGTGTGGGCTCATCAGTTTTTGAAAAATTCTGGAACACTTTTAAATAGTGTAAAAGCTGATGATCCAAATTTTAATGCCTCAGCCAATTTTGAAACTTTGAAAATGAAGGTACATTTATTTATTTATCAATATATTTAGTGATAGGGTGCTCCAAGATCAGTCAACATCTGATTCTGGAGTATTCACAGTCAACGTCTGTGCCCAAGTGATGGTTGAGGCATGCCCAATTAGTCAACGTCTAGTTCAGGCACATTCAGTCAACATCTGAAGCCTCACCATTGTGACCACTTTTTCCTAATTCCTTTTTCATTATTTGCTCCACAACAGGTAAGATCTGAGCGCAACAACAAAAATTTGAAAGATTATTGGGAAGATATTATTGCCAAATGGAAAGAGACAAATCAATCCTCAAATGCCTCTTTACTGGTCTGCAGTTAACTTTTTCTGAGTTTTGATTTTTTGCACCTTCACATCAGATAAAAAATTCATTCATATAATGTACTTATTTTGCTTCTGTTAAAAAAACATCAATTGATGTATATACAAAGCATAAACATGTAAAACGTCATATCATGCAATTTAATTATAGGGAAGCAATGTTGGTGCTCAACATGGGGAAATTTCAATATTTCCCTGTTAATGCTATAAGTGATTTTTACCAGATTCGTGTTTGAACCTGAGTATGCTTATTTTGATTGCACAAATTATATATCAGTGCTTGAATCCTTTGGAGAAAAAGTGATGTCCAGAAGGGTAAAGTCATTCCTGGGCAGTATCTTATTTTATCCTTAGATTTTGCTGGAATCAACCGTTCAAATGACCTTAAAATTGCTGAAGCTGCACTTCATGATATGATTAATAATTCCATTGAACAGTTCTACAGAACATATGCATCCTATCCGGAAAGGCCATATGATAACCTCCAGAAACTCATTAAACAGGATAATAGCATTTCTAGCATTTCTAAATGCATTAGTATGATCTCAAGAATAAATCAGAAGAATATCATCGTGACAGCTTCAATTATGCTTTGCTCAAAAATGGACCCCTGCAGCCCAATATAGAATTTGAAGTTACTAAGGCAAGTAGATTTTTTCTAAGTGCATGTGATTGTTACAGTCTAGTTAATTGTTTGTTTATATACATCCACAGTCACCCATTGCAACTGGACGGATTGATTTGTTGATCAAGACTGTTACAAATCGCATAATTATCACTGAGTGGAAGGTGCTCAGGATCAATTTCATAGACATTCAACCTGCTATATTACAACCTGGTATGGGAAAATCTGTAGAAATTCAGAAAGTATTAACACTAAGCAATATCTCAGATATAACTTCAGTACTTCAACTAAGGATTTCCTCCTATGACAAATTTGGTAGAGGTGGAAAAACAATTCGTGAATGGATTTTGAAGCAGGGTCCAAGTGACCAGTTGATGAATTACTGGGCTAGTCCTGAAATCACTGAACTCCGTAAGACCTACAAGGCTGTTGCTTATCTAGTGGTTATTGTTAGTTCTCGTAAGATTTTGCTCTGGCAGCTGAGCAACAATGGCAAATTTCTGGAGGAACCTCTACTGGTAGACTAATAGTATATAACATGGTATAAATTTTTTCTTATGAATATAATATCTTGCATCAATAAAGCAAATAGTCATCAAATTTATCATTTAAGATACTAATTATACAATTGAGAAGGGAAAATTTTTTTTTGATTCACAAGTCAAGCTGCTAACAGATTTTTATTTATTTTTGTGAATCCCAGAGACTGGGTAGATGCACGATATATTCCAAATTGATCCCTGAAAAGGTTTTATTCCTGCATGGTCTTGTATGATTTATTACTTACAGGGTTGTGCAATTTCGCTGTACGAGAAGAATCTTCGTACGTACGTACGACTGACTTCGTACCATTGAGTTCGTAC